TTTTTTCTTTTTTGCATAAAATGGAGAAAATCATTTTCGTTTTTTTTATTAAAAAAGAGATGCCAAAGGTCGACCGGCGATAACCCAAGGATGTGCAAAAAAATCGGGAACCACCCAGGATCGGCTCGGAATCAGCGGTTCCATGGGACCAATCCAGTTCTCGATTTAAGGTGTGAAATCACCCGCCCATCCATCCAGACCGATATATATACATATATATTTATATTTTTTTAATTTCAGTTATCTCAGAATCAGACTCTCACGCTTTTTACAGTTTTACTCGTCGGTACTCAAAAAAAAAGAAAAGAAAGAAAAGAAAGAAAGTCTAGTCATTAATCAGTCCTCCACCTCCTCATCTCGCTCTCCTGCCTTCAACTCTCTCGATGTCGCCTCATCTCGCTCTCACTCCGTCGGTCGCCTCGCCTCTCAGCGAGTCATCAGAGCTCTCGGTCTCACCTCCAGCCCTCTATCGCGGCATCACAGTTGCGCCTCGCCTCCGGTCCTCCCTCATAATTAGCCTCACCTCCCTCTTGCAATCTCGCTCAAACTGACAAATATCACGTCTCTCTCGTAACTTGTTCTCACAATCACAGCTATTGACCAAGTAACATCAATCGCTTTGCTTGGTTTTATTCTGTTAACATAGTTACCTAGAATGACCTCTTCTATGATAATACTGAAATCAAGCGTGTTTTTAGCTGTTCATCTAATTTTGAATATCCTATGTTGATAGAGTTTGAGTCTAGTTGTGAATTTGAGTTTGCAATGTCTATAGTATTATCCTCAGTCGGTTGCATATAATGTGTTTGATAAAATACCTTTGAAAATACGAATCATAAATAATTTGAGATCCTTTCCATGTTGCTTGATTCGGGCAGGTGATTTATTAACATGTCAATGGAAGTAGAAAATCCTATGATGCGATGACTTTGATAATTGAATCATAATCCCCATAAGGTGAAGACGATTATGGAGCTTTTGGGTTAATTGGACACAAAGGGGAGATAAGGGCTTCCTAATTGAAGGGTTAACAACATTAACTTGAACATAACAACCATAAGTAAGGTTTCACATCTCTTAGCAAATAGAGAGAAAAACAATTCCATTGACCCACCCGAAAATCAAACCGGACTAATGGTCCAGTTCCCATTTTGTGGAACCGGTCCTTAGGGGGCAATTTTTTATTTCAAGATGGAAACCGCCCATCCTAGAACTAATCTAGCAATAATTATTGGGGCAAACAATCGAGCTCTCTTATTCTATAGGCAAAATGATACAACTAATCCATGAACTTTACCTCAATGTGTAATGTGGTCCCTAAATTTTTAATTTATTCAATATGGTTCATGAACTTTGGCCCAATGTGTAATATCGTCCCTCAACTTTTAAATTGTTCAATGTATCCTCAAACTTTTGGTGCATATTCAATGTAGTCTGTGGACTATATGAAAATATTTAATGTTGTCTGTGAGCTTGAATTAATTAAAGAACAACAATAAACATTTTTATATAGTTCATGGACTAATTGAACATGTATCAAAAGTTCATGAACTACATTGAATAAATTAAAAGTTTAGAGACCACATTACACATTGAAATAAAGTTCAAAGATCATATTGAACAAATTAAAAGTTCAAGGATAACATTGCACGTTAGGCTAAAGTTCATTGACTATTTATGTTATTATCATTATTTCAAAACTAAATGGCCACCTCGACTCCAATCTCTATTGTTCTCTAGCCCCAATTTTCGAAGATGGACTCCAATTACCGTGATTTAGTTTCTTTCGAGCTCTCACTTGCTCTCCCGCGGATAATTAGCTATAATTTTTTCTTATAATTTTGATGGATTTGGGTTAAGGTTTGCTTCCTGGTCTTAATTTAGCCCCAATTTGTCAATTTGGGACAAGAACAAAGAGCCATTGTCGTTTCTCATGATTTCTCCTACAAGTCTCGTCGGTCGATTTACAATAAATTAATATCACATCGGATTTTTCGACAAGGTGAATCACTGATGACTGGCAAGAGAACAATTCTTGACCAGTGGGGCACTTAAGTAATCGAAGGGGAATCGCTGATGTGCTCTTCTAGTTTTAAGCTTCATCGATATGTAGCTTCTATCAAGTAAGGCACATGATTCTTCCACTAGCTGTTGTACCAAAGGATATGTGTGTTTCTTTTTCCCTTAGTTACCTAAAGAAATGTGTTCCCATCTTTAAGACATGATTGACATCGACGATTTTTGTGTTTTTCCTCGATTTTTAATGTGGTACTTCAATTACTTTTTGTTCAATTTAATTCTTGAACTTTAAAAAAAAAAGCCACTCATCATAATTCTTCTATTAGAGAATCTAATACCGTGAATTAACCTAACCAGCATTTCTGCTAAATTGATGCTAAATTTGTCATGATGGCGTCCATTGGGGCTTCCACGATATAGGCCCAATAAGAAAGCGAAAATGATTTGTTGACTTAGGAAACGACGTGGCAACGCATAATCATTAGTTTGGCTCAAGAAGCGATTGACGTGATAGTCAATCTCAAAAAATTGCATGTAATATGACGACACACTTAACAAAAGAACTACATTAAACGAACTTAAAAAAGTGCAATGATCAAATTCAACAAGAGCACAAAAAATAAAAGGACACATTTGACATTAAAGAAAAAATTTGAGGACCGCTCATGTCACTTGTCTTCATCTTTAATGAGTCAGTGACTACTAGTGAAAATTGTCTAATGGTTTTGAATTTTCGATACAGGGATTAGCTAATTATGAGTAGCTTGGGGTAATTTTCACTAGTAGTCACTTAACTTTCGTTTATTTTTTAATCAGGTCACTAAATTTTGTTCTCTTTTACCGAACTAACTGAACTTTTTCCTTCTTTTCAATCGATGCACTCTGATCATAATTCGACCAATTTTCCTCTAAATTGCTGATCTGATAAACACATGACGGTGACATGGACTTTGGAATATTGGTAAAATTCCGGTTGAATTGCACTGATGGGAATAAAAGGGTAAGTTTAGCGCGTTGTGTAAACAAAATGAAAGTTCAATGACCCGATTTAGGAAAATAACTGAAGGTCAGTTACCACCAATGTAACTTATCCATCTTGTTGAGAAATCCTAACTTATAAAAAAAGAAGTACGTCTTTTGTGAAGGTGGACTCTTGTGATTGATCGTGATATTGTACACGTGACATGATGTTATCATTGCATGATATGCTGCCTAATGTGATAGATGCCGATAAGGATGTGCATCTGTCCCGGTCTAACCTCGAAACAGGACTGAACCGACTGGTGCTGGGTGGTTCCTTGGGGAGACCGATCCAGTTCCCCATTCCACATAAGGGATCGGACCGACAAACCGGCCAAGACTTCTTAATTTTTTTTATATTATTTTATTCTGAAGCAAACTCATATTGTAAATTATTTTTTTAATGTTGGGAAATTCCCTCTAGGGAATAGAAGAAATAAAAAAAAAGAAAAAGAAAGAAATCGCCGATTCCGGGACCGACTCTGAAACTGGTGACCGGTTCCAAGACCAAGTGGGTTGGTTCCTAGTTTCACAAATTGAGAACTGATCCTGCCCGATCTAATTTCAGGTTTGAGAGTGGGAATAGACTCCCGGTGCATTAAGGTAACAGCAAAGCAATGATTTCACATGCAAGAGAATTCAAGTGGGTTTTTTTTTTTTTCGTCCTTTTTGTGGGTTTTAGCAGTCTCTTCGTTGACGATTAGGACTCAAGAGTAAGTGCACCTTTACTGGTGAGAGACGTTAGCAACCCCTTTTCCTATCGCAAGCAATCCATGGAGTCTATCTGCCTGTTTGTGAAGACCGAGAGAGAGAGAGATGCATGCTCATCGTCCCAATTTGAAAAAGAAAATCTGAGTTTTGATCAGATCTGCACGCAAGAAAGGCAGGATCCGATTCTTGGAGAAGAAGACGAGTAAGGAAACGATTTGACAGACGAAGTACTAAATCTTGACTGTAATGGCGGACCAATGTGACGAAGATCTCAAAAAGCCAACTCTTATGGCAAGTCTAATTTGGACTTTGGGAAATGTAAAGGAAACTACACATGGGACAGGATCTGGCGAGGGTTCCAGGCGAGGGTCGTCCTCGCCAGCCCTCACCTCATCGTCGAGGCCTTGGCGATTGGAGGAAGGAAATAAGAAATAAAAAAGGAGAAAAAAGAAAAAGAAAAGATATAGAAAATTTTAGACGAATGCAAAAATTGTCTACTTTTAGCCGGCGTTCACGTGAGCAATTGCCGGTCAAAATTGACCGGAAGAATTATATTGGCAAATTGTCAAAATGTTTATGACTAAATTGGTCGAATTTAAAATTTTAAAACTGAATTGATATCCGTACATTAGGTTCATGACCTTTTGGGTAATTTTCCCATTCATCTAATACCTCCCCTTGGGCATCAAACAAGCATTGAGAATATAATGGCATGAGAGTATTATTCAGGGCAACTACAAAAAAGGTATAATGAAAGCTTATTAGACCAAATTGTGTTGCTTCCCAAATTGGAAAAGCTAAATAGGGTTATACTACTGTGCAGTGGTCGCCAATGGAAGGCAACAGTTCATGAAAAGTTGGCACGTGAGCATTAAGTACACGGTATCTAGACTAATTTGAAAAGAAATCCCCGAGGGCGGTCCAATGTCCCCGACGCTAGAGCCGAGTTCCTCAACACTCGAAAAGTAATTTGATGATAGAATGCGTATCCCTTATATCACACAAACAATACATTTCTTTTTAAGAAAATAAAATCAAGTTTTTCTTATCAAATGATGGAAAATATTTTCCAGCTCATTTTCAAAATTCCAATCGAGGACCGGGAAATACTGCCGATTTGCTGGAAAATGACTTCCTGGAAAATACTGTCCAGAAATGTCGTATTTTTCGCGAAATAAACGGAACCTTACACCACGAAACTATCTTTCGATACTGTGTCGCTGCTTTCATTGTGTTACGCTATGAAGCAGGCTAAGATTCATCGGGGGATTCCATTAGTAAATATGCATTGAGGTTCCTTAGAAGGACAAGAAATTTTTCCTTCTTTGCTTCAATGCCTAGGTTTTGATTCACTCGTCCAAATCAGAGCTTGAAAATCTCTCTCTCTCCTTCACTCTCGTTGAGCTTTTGTCCTGAAAATCCAACCCAAGATTATCGGATGGAGAAACCAGCGTGCAGGTGTTGCTACGACCCGTGCAAGGTCATGTCCCTTGTCACGCTGCTGTGCTTCACGTTCCTCTGCTTGGACTACATCACCTTCAATGGCAAGAGCGATGGCTTCTCCTTCAAATTCAACTCCCATGGGCGTCTGACCTCCGCCGAGAGGAAGCGAAACGGGACGCAGGGCCCCGGTTCTCTCCAACTCACGGGGAACATCGATGATCGCCGGACTAGTGCCGAGAGCGACGTCGGCAGAGCAAGAACCGCGGGTTCGGATAAGCCTGATGAGGGTCAAAAGAGCCTGAACGATGCTAACGAATCAGATGCGCAGTCAGCATCAAGGAGTGATCAAGGACCTGCAGAGGATGTTACTCTCCAGGTCCTAGGCGAAAGTGATCGAGATACGGCGCGCCTGAATCAGGAGAGCGCAGACCCATGCTCGGGCCGGTACATCTACGTTCACAACCTCCCGAGTAGATTCAACGACGACATACTGAAGAACTGCACGTCCCTCATCAAGTGGTTCGACATGTGCCCGTCAGTGGTCAACGAAGGTCTAGGCCCCCAAATCCATGATCCTCGAGGAGTCCTTTCTCACGGAAACTGGTTCGCGACCAATCAGTTCTTGCTAGAGGCAATATTCCGCAACAGGATGAGGCAGTACGAGTGCTTAACCAACGACTCCTCGCTGGCCTCGGCGGTTTTCGTCCCCTTTTACGCCGGGCTCGACGTGGGCCGCCACCTATGGAATTTCAGCACGTCGGTTAGGGACTCTCTTGCACGAGATTTCGCTAATTGGCTCGCAGATAGACCGGAGTGGAAGAAAATGTGGGGGAGGGATCATTTCCTAATCGGAGGAAGGATCTCTTGGGATTTCAGGAGACCAACCAACGACGTTTCTGACTGGGGAAACAATCTTATGTTTCTGCCCGAATCCAACAACATGACAATGCTATCTATCGAGTCAAGTTCTTGGAACAATGACGTAGCCATACCATATCCCACATATTTTCATCCCTCAAGCGAGACTGAGGTCCTTGAATGGCAAAACAAAGTGCGAACACATGAGAGGCCGCACCTGTTTTCGTTCGCCGGGGCCCCAAGACCAAGCCTGGAAGATTCTATCCGAAGTGAGCTCATTAACCAATGCCAAGCATCTAATGGGGCGTGCGCGTTGCTAAACTGTGGCGATGGCTGGAACAAGTGCAATGACCCAGTTGAAGTGATGAATGTCTTCGAGAGTTCAGTTTTCTGCTTGCAGCCGCAGGGGGATTCCTACACTAGGAGATCAACTTTTGACTCGATACTGGCGGGGTGCATTCCGGTTTTCTTCCACCCTGGATCGGCATACGTGCAATACATTTGGCATTTACCAAAGAATTATTCCAAGTATTCGGTTTTCATACCCGAAGACAAGGTGAAACATGGAGACATCAACATCAAACAAGTATTGAGTAGGATTTCCAGTGATGCAGTACTCAGCATGAGAGAGGAGGTCGTACGGTTGATTCCCAGGATTGTATATGCAGATCCAAGGTCCAGAGATCATGCGTTCCAGGATGCCTTCGATACTGCCGTAAAAGGAGTTTTGGAAAGAATAGAGAGCATCAGGAGAAGAATTTCCAATGGCATGGATCCTAGTCGTGGTTTTTCAGATCAGAACGGTACAAAGTTTAACATGCCCGTGACGGCCTAGGAAAAACAGCAGGATCTTTCGGATTATTAAAAACCAAGAAACATTCTAGACGGACAGAAACTGAATTTGAGATTTTTTGTCAGTTTTAAGCTTATGCAGATGATTTCTTCAAGAGTATCTTCTCTCTTCGTCCAGGATTAGATTTCTCTGATCTCTACCCACCGCATTAAGGATGAAATTTTTGTAAAGTAGAAGAGATTCTGCAAATCGAGAATGTACTCAAATCTGTTAAGCTTGAATCAGATGTTGATTAGGGCAGGTAAAGTTTTGTTTGCATCTCGAAATATTTTTGTTTTGTTCATGTGTTGATTTAGCTGGGCAAAAAAAGACCACATGTTGTTTAGTCACATTGATCACCTTAACTCTCGATTCATCACAAGAGGAGAGGCTCATTTCACAGTAGTGCTGTTAATTGGACACTAAGTAAATCATACAGTAGTACAGTACTCAGTAAATCATAGTTTCCCTCAAGATGAATCTAGTTTTGACTATGATGGGAACAGCGCGATATATTATGACAATTACAATTTCAACACACACAAGTACCACATCAGAAAATACTCGCACAATGTATATATATCAAAGAGGTAGTGACAGAAATAGACTGTTTCTAAGCAGCATTCCATGAAGAAAGGGGTGGAGTGTCGGAGTTCTCCCATGTAATCATGGTACTTTTGTACCTGTCGCCCTTGACGTTATCTGCAGAAGCAATTGATTCGAGCTCGGCCATATCGTTCCGCGTGAGTTTCACGGACACAGCTCCAATATTCTGGTCAAAATTCTCAATCTTGGTCGTCCCGGGTATCGGGCAGACGTCGTTGCCCTGGTGGTGGACCCAGGCGAGGGCTAACTGTGAAGGGGCGCATCCTTTCCTCTTTGCAACTTCATGTAATCGGTCAAATAACTTCGCATTGTGAACCAAGTTCTCCGGCTGAAACCTGGGCAGGTACTGCATAAAAAAAAAAAAGCACTTCTCAGCATGGCATTGAAGACCACTATGGTTATAAAGCTTTTGGGTCGACAATTGCTTTCTAGCCACTCTGAATGCTACAAAAAACTGTTAAACCAACAGCAAATATTAAAGTTAGCAGATGATTTTGCTGCACTTTGATGTGAATGATAGTCACTGTGAGCTGATTGGTACACACAGACCTGTCGGAAGTCATCCTTGGATAGATTCTCGAACAGCTTGGAACCTACAGAAAAGAATCCTCGTCCTAAAGGACTGTAGCAAACGATTCCGATGCCGAGCTCCCTAAGTAACCGTTTCAAGGAAGATCAGAGTCAGAAGAAGAACATATCTACTTCACAAAGAAACTAGTCATGGTTTTTCGTTATTTCTTACCGGCATGTGGGAATGACATCTGCCTCCACGTCTCTCGACCACAGCGACCACTCCAGTTGCACTGCTGTTATGGGATGAACAGCATGGGCTCTTCTGATTGTTGAAGCGGAAGCCTCGGATAAACCGATGTACTTGACTTTACCCTCCTCAACTAGCTTCTTTAGTTCACCGACCTTTGAAGATTCACATGACCCAATAATAACAGTAAAGACCTTAAGTGTCGGAGGCCCAGAAATTTGTGCACATCGTTAGCTTTTATTTTGTATCTCCGAATGCGCCTTCTCCAATTTTTAAACCATTTCATTTTGACTAAGCCACAATCAGCAAGACCAATCAGTATTGATACATCTCAATGCAAGAACAATATGCTAGGCATCAAATAAACTCCTGTAGTATCTTTAATCTATCAGAACAAGAGCTAAAACCTAATTGCAGAGGATGATCCAGGAAGTGATCTCAGTCCCACACAAGACAAATTATATCGAATCATCGCAATAAGAAAGTAATTCTCATTATATAGTTTCTATCATATTAAGCGTCACCATATACACAGTGAAACCATCCCGGTGCATCAACCTAGTTAAGCAAGTTAAAGAGTGGAACAAGGGTATACAGTGACTTCGATGGGCACGCGAGTGTCTACGCGGTGTTGGTAGTAGAGGTCGATGCAATCGATGTCGAGCCGCTTCAAGCTGGCCTCACACGACGCCCTCACGTACGCAGGGTCACCTCGGACCTGCCTGTTCCCCTTCCCATCTGCGGAGCTGATCCCGAACTTGGTTGCCACTTGCACTCTCTCCCTCAGCCCTCCCTTCAGTGCCTGCTCAAATTCCATACCGAATCAACATCAAAGCAAACTAAAAAGAAATTGCCCCGCAATCAGAAAGCCTAGTCGCCCGACATAGAGTTCTGTGCGACCACCGCCGACTGTTCAGACCGCTCAATAACTGGAAACCCACTTGGGGCAACTACTGTTCAGACCGCTCATTGTTGCTTCTGCATTTCAAAGCTCGTAGATTTCACAAGGTTTCATACATTTTGCGTTCCAAACTGTGAGAGTCCGACATCTTAAACTAAGAGTAAAGCACGAGAATAGATTACAAATGGGTTGTACACAAGAGATAATTGGAAGCAAAATCATGCGAAACCCTCTGTGCAATTCAGCTAGCTGATGCGAAAAGTCAGACCTTTAAACGACCGCGCGGGTTTGGAATCGAAAAGCACGGACCTTTCCGAGGAGGACTTCGTTGGTGTGGGGGCCGTAGATGTCGGAGGTGTCGAGGAAGGTGACGCCGGAATCGACGGCGTGGCGGAGGAGGTCGATCATGTCGGGCTCGGACTTGGGAGCGCCGTAGAAGGCGGACATGCCCATGCAGCCCAGCCCCTGAGCCGACACCTCCAGCCCCTGCGACCCCAGCTGGATCCTCCCCACCGTCGACGACGCCATGTCCGTCTTCGTCGTCCTCGCTCTCCAGCACGATGCAAGAAGAGGGTCAAACTCCAGGAGACAGAGTTTGAGTTGATTTATACTAAACTACGAAATTATATATTGTTAAATTTCTCACCGACTTAGACATGGGTTTCAGCATATCAAACTTATAGACCAAATCATACTTCATGGGAGCTTATGATCTTGAAAATATTTGATGAACTATATAAGTAATAAAGTGTCACTCTAGCATGTATGAATGAGTTCGAATTGCTCGAAATCTCGATTTCTTGATTCTAAAGGTCACCCTGATGATTTCGGCATGGCCAGCTCAATTCGTATTCAACTTGTTGTGTGTTTCTCGAGTGATCATTCCCCAGTAAGCTTATTATTACACATCCACAATCTTGTCATAGGGAATGTTGCTTATACAAAATGACAACAGTTAGGTTGCGAATGGTAACCATTCTGTTTCTCTATTTCTGTTCCAGAAATAGGTTTGGAACAGAAATCTGTTTGGTAACGAAATTCCAATTTCTATTTCTATTTTTGTTCCAGAAATAGGTTTGGAACAGAAATCAGAAGTTAAAATTTTTAGCTTCTCTATTTCTGGAACAGAAATGAGAAACAATTTTTTGTATTCTTCTCATCACTTTCCCTCACTACTAGCCGGTTTCTCACTCGCCGCCCATCGCTGGCCGTCGCCACCCGCCGACCGCCGCTACCCGTCGCTGGCGGCCACCGCCGCCGGCCACCGTCTCCTGCCGCCGCCTACCCTCCTCCCCCTACCGGCGGCCTACGGCCGCCACTCGCCACCCACCACCAGCCACCATCTCCCGCCGCCACCCGCCTCCCACCCCCGACCTCCTTCCTCCCACCACCGCCGCCCACCTTTGGCCGCCGGCCGCCGTGGGCAGCCGGCCACCGTCTCCCGCCGCCACCCGCCTCCCACCCCCGGCCTCTCTCCTCCCGCCACCGCCGCCCACCTCCCACCGCCAGCCGCCGTCCACCGGCCACCATCTCCCACCGCCAGCCGTCGTCCACCGGCCACCATCTCCCACCACCAGTCGCCCTCCTCCCACTGCCGGCCGCCGTGGGCATCCGGCCGCCGCCTCCCACTGCCTGCTGCCGTCCACCGGCCACCATCTCCCACCACCGGTCGCCCTCCTCCCACAGCCGGCCACCGTCTCCAGCTGCCGGTCGCCCTCTTTTGGCTGCCACCCACCTCCCACCGCCGGCCACCGTTGGTCGCCGCCCGCCGTCCATCGGCCACCATCTCCCATCGTCGGCCACCGTCCTCCCGCCGCCGCCTGCCTCCCACCACTGGCCACCGTCTCCCACCGCCACCCGCCCTCCTCCCGCCACCATCTATCACCCGCTGACCACCCGAGAAGAAGAAATTTTGTGTCATTATCAAACAAATTTCTGTTTCTGGAACAGAAATTTTGTGTCGTTATCAAACGTGTTTTTTTGCTAAGAAACTCCTCCAGGAACATAAATAGAAAAATCAATTTCTGGCCAGAAATTGATTTCTGAAACAGAATGGTTACCATTCGCAGCCTTACTGTCTGTAGTTCAGATCTTATTACAAGAAAACAAGAACCCGGCATTTACACATACTTATAACAGCCACACAACATTAGCCTCAACATACTTCAGCGCCAAATGCTCGAACTCTGCATATCAAAGATTCAACCATAGAAGAAGATACGTTTCAAAGCAGCTTTCCATGAAGAAGGGGGTGGAGTGCAAGAGCTTTCCCCTGTAGCCCTGCTGCTTATGTACCTGCTACACTTGACATTGTCCGCAGAAGCAATCGATTCAAGCTTAACCATTTCTTCTGGTGTAAGCTTCACGGACAGAGCTCCAATGTTCTCAATGAGATTCTCGATCTGGGTCGTGCCAGGAATCAGACAGACATCGTTGCCCTGGTGGTGTACCCAGGCGAGGGCTAACTGCAACGGGGTGCATCCCTTTGCTTGCGTTATTCTACTCACTCGTTTGAATGCCGTCACTAGGTCAGGTGAGTTCTCCGGCTGGAACCTTGGAAGGGACTGCATAAACATAGAGCACTGTCTCAGCAAAGAGCATGAGAGCAACTGTCATATTCCTTGGAACACCAAATTCTACTGCAGCGAGGTCAAACATTACTAGAAGTGGTTGTGTTGCATGCCATCAGATTGTCTTGTTACTTGATATGATAACATTTGGAAGTTCGCAAGCACTGTGTATCTGGACAGCGTGATTAGTAAAAGATTATCTTGAAAGGATCAAAATATCTAGATCAAAATCATAAGCATTCGAATGTAGAGCAAAGTGCTCTAGCAGCTACCCCGTAAGGCCGATGGTTTTGATGTAAGATGTGACAACAACAAAAAAATCGACAATTTAAGTTTCTCTACATGTAATGGTATCCGTTTATCACACCTAAAAGAAAGAAATCACAAATCTAGATGATGTGTAGAAGAACATTATTGGAAGTAAAGTTCTTTTTAGCTAAAAAACACTAGCTACTTCACTTGCCCAGCACAATCACTAGTCAAACACTAATTGCAGGAAGTAACGCACATTTGGCTTTATGTCAGATGGGAACTAGATCCCAAACTTCCATAGGAAGGGTGTGAGGGAGTCCTCACTCAAGAAATGGTTCTGTCGAGATATAGTGTATCTTTTGAAGAAAGATGAGAATAGAAAAGGACAGAGGCTGAGGACAGAGACCGGTGTTGGTTATATTGAGGAAAGACCGCTAATCCTGTGCAGAAGGATGAGAGAAAAAGGATGGGTGGAAAGTGGGGAAAGAATAGCTAATAGCAACTGGTGGGAAGGCTGGGAAGGAGAGGAACTTACAAATAAATCTATGTGTGTTTCTTCCGAAAGCATGAGAATCTGGGAAACTGCCTCTTTCAGGCTCATTAAGCCATTAATTATCTCTCTCTACTGATCTAGAATCACGAGAGGTGGGATGTATAGCGAATGCTAGATTGAAGACATATGAGAATATATAGCATTTGCGTCACCGATTGCTATTCATCCCATCCAGGTATCTTTTCTGTATACCACAAGAACTGGTAATCTTCCAGCACTTCAATAAGAATGACAGTCACTGGAAAAATCTACTTATGTTAATCAGCAGCAACCAACCTGTCCTGAGTGTAATTTGGCGCTCATGAAACACTGGATTACTAGCAATATGAATGGCATATTGATTGTCACAATGGAGAGTAGACGATCCTGCCATATGTAATCCAATCTCAGTCAACAACATACGAATCCACTGAAGCTCACTTGTAACGTTAGCCATAGCACGATATTCTGCTTCTGCACTAGATCGAGAAACAACTGATTGTTTCTTACTCTTCCACGACACAAGATTACCTCCAAGGAATACACAGTACCCTGATATAGACCGGCGATCTACAGGACAACCAGCCCAATCTGCATCAGAGTATCCTGTCACCTCCAAAGAGTCTGGCTCAGAATAACCAGCTACATTAAGATGACCCCGATTATGGAATACAAGCCCTTGACCTGGGGCTCCCTTCAAATATCGTATAATATGTAAGACAGCTTGCCAGTGAGTAGTACGAGGAGAGCTCATGAACTGACTCACCACACTAACAGCAAATGAGATATCTGGACGAGTAATGGTAAGATAATTCAACTTGCCTACCAACCGACGATATTTTTCTGGATCATGAAGAAGCTCCCCGTGTTCGTTATCAAGCTTCACCCCAGGGTCCATAGGTGTATCACCAGGCTTAGCATCGTGCAAGCCCACCTCCTTAAGAATATCAATGGCGTACTTTCTCTGAGAAAGAGCAATACTATCACCAGTATATGCAACTTCGATACCGAGAAAATATCGAAGTAGACCTAAGTCTTTAGTATTAAACTCCTTTTGTAGAAACTGCTTGAGTCGTTTTATGCCTTCAACATCACTCCCAGTAACAATGATATCATCAACATAAACAACCAGAATAACATACCCCTTCAAAGATGACATACTAAATACGGAATGATCCACATTGCATCGATGCATACCAAAACTGGTAACAGCATCACTAAAACGACCGAACCAAGCACGAGGAGACTGCTTTAGTCCATATAGAGCTTTACGCAATCGGCATACCTTCTCCCCCTGAGCAACAAACCCGAGTGGTTGCTCCATATAGACCTCTTCTTGAAGATCCCCATGAAGGAACGCATTTTTAACATCAAGCTGATGAAGAGTCCACTTAAAACGAGCAGCCAAAGAAATAATGACACGAACAGAAGGAATTTTAGCCACTGGAGAAAAAGTCTCGTCATAGTCAATGCCATAATTTTGAGTATAGTCCTTCGCAACAAGACGCACCTTTAAGCGCTCAACAGAACCATCAGGATGATATTTAACAACAAATACCCACCGACAACCTACCAATTGCTTGTCAGGAGGTAAAGAGACAAGTTCCCAAGTCTTGTTGTGTTGTAGTGCAGCCATTTCTTCCTCCATAGCACGAGCCCAACCTGGATGAGCTAAAGCTTCTTGCACACTATTGGGCACAGACACAGATGCGAGAGACGACACAAACGATGACATTTGAGGAGATAAATTATGATAAGACACAAAATGAGCAAGAGGATACCGAGATCGAGTACGGTGTGCAACAGGAGAGTCAACTGGAGGTGATGGAAGAGGATCAGAAGCCGGGGCCGGAGATAGTGGTGAGGCATCTGCTGATGGAGAGTCATGATTCCAAGCACGGCGAGGACCACGTGTATAGACTGTAGTGGCTGAGATGAACTTGGATTTGATGGAACAACAGTAGAAGAGACATATGGTGATTCTCACTGGAGATATAGGTAGGGAACTAACAATGTTTGAGAAGGTGAGGAAGACGGTGCAGGACAAGAAACATTACCAAAAAATGTCCGATCCTCGAAGAAGGTAACATCAGCAGAGACGTACTCTCGACGAGAAGTAGGATTATAACAAACATAACCCTTTTGGGTACGAGAGTAACCAACGAAGACACATTTTTTAGCACGGGGAGATAATTTGTCTAGGCCAGGAGACAACTGATGGACAAAACAGACACAACCAAAAATACGAGGACGAATAGACCATAAAGGTTGATTAGTATGAAGAAGAGTAAAAGGAACAGCTCCCTTTAACACAGAAGATGGAAGACGATTAATAAGATGACATGTTGTACGAATAGCATAGCTCCAGTAAGATTTAGGTACATGTGTATGAAGAAGAAGACACCGGGCAACATCGAGTAAATGACGATTCTTACGTTCAGCAACTCCATTTTGTTGTGGAGTGTGAGCGCAAGAACTCTGATGTAAAATACCACGAGATTCAAGGAAAGGAAGAAAGGTGGAAGAAGAAAAATACTCACGAGCATTATCTATATGTAAGCATTTAACAGGATATCCATACTGAGTAGTAACTTCATTGTAAAATTGACGAAAGGAGTGAAATACCTCAGTACGATCTTTTATTAAATATAACCAAGTGGTACGAGTACAATCATCAATGAAAGTGACAAAATAACGAAAACCAAATGAAGACTCTCGACTAGGACCCCAAACATCAGAATGGACTAACTCAAATGGTTGAGAAGCACGACTCAAAACACGGGGTGGAAAAGACACACGATGATGCTTTCCCAACTGACACGTTTCACAATCAAACTTAAGACTCGATCTAGACACAAAAGGAAAATGACAAAGTGTATCTGTTGACGGATGACCCAGACGACAATGCAACCGATAAGAGTCATCCACACCTTCTTCCGAATAGTAGCGATGCAAAGCAACAATCACGGGGTCTAGAAGATACAATCCACCAGCCTCACGCCCACCACCTATCCGGCGTCCAGTCTTCCGATCCTGGAGGACACATGAAGATGGAGAAAAGGTGATATTGCAATCAAGATCACGAGTAATGGAACTGACAGATAACAAACTATAAGGGAATCGAGGAATATGGTAAACAAAAGGCAAAGATATGGAGGAATTCAATGACACACAACCTGTACCAGCTACTTGAGATTTTGAACCATCTCGCTAAGGTGATCAAGTGGAAGGAGTAGAAGAAGATGAAGTAAGAAGACGCGAATCACCAGTCATATGATGAGTGGCACTGAATCAATAATCCAAGGACTAAGTGTATCTCGTAGTGGCTAAGAGACAAGTACCATCATTATGTTGTGCCAAAGTAGCAACAGGAGGCGAAGAACCACCAGGTTGTCGCGCTCTAATCGCTCATCATATTCGCACGAGTCAACTCGCACGATACTTTGTTCGGAAGCCGATCCAGATGAAGAAGACCGAGGCTCAATATCAATGGAAGCCTGTAAACCCCGCAACTCAGGATGGAGATCATAACAATAGTTAATAGTGTGTCCAGCCAACTGACAATGAGTACAAAAACGACCTCCACGACCTCCTCTAGCACTAGCAGTACTACCATCTCGAGGAACACCTCGACCCGGAATAGTGCGGCCACGACCATGATTAAAGTTACTTGTACTCCAATTGCCACGACCACGAACTCCTTGATTACCACGAGCCACCATAGCACTATTATCTGACATAGTTGAAGCTTTCGAATCGGGAGTGTACCGAGCGACTCGAGAATATACTTCCTCTATGGAAGGAAGGGTGCCCAGAGAAGTAACTATTGTCTTAGGGCACCGTGATCCGGACCAAGACCTCGAAGAAAGAGGACCACCAGCATGTTTGCTTCTCTCTGCTGCATCGAGTAAGCTGTTGTGGCTGGTGGAAGATGAGACCGGAGTCGCTGAGACAAAGAAGTAAAACGAGCATAGTATTCTGCCAATCCGGAAGGACCAATTTTAGCCTCAAATAATGCCTCCCACATATCACATACTCGACTCATATTATTCTGTCCAGAATAAAGTAAAGTGCATTTGGACCACACCTCACGAGCTGTCATACAATCCATAAAAAGAGGACGAATAGAATCAGTCATACTTCCCCACAAAGAAAGTACGCAACGCAGCGTCGGTGACCCTCCATTCTTCTAAATTAGCTGAATCCTCGGTGGTGGTTCATGGAGCCACCTAGATTGGCGATTGGCATAAATAAAAGTAGAAAGGGCCATTGACCAACTCGGGTAATTCGTGCCATCCAACTTTACTAATGTGGTGTGTAAACCACTCATACCAAAGGAACCAGTAGCAATAGTCGGGGTAGTCACCCCGAACGAACATCCGAGTTACTTGAATCGTAGAGACATATCCACCAATTAAAAAGAGAACACTCGTAATCTATCGATTGTCACCAAATCCACTAAAAAAAAATGTGAACACCACCAACAGCAACTATCAATCACACTACAAGTCACCACACCAACTTCCACTACCACATCAACTAGATCTGCTCACCACATCAACCACCACTACACTTTAATTAAAAACAATGTCTTCACATCAGACAGTGCAAGACAGCAGAGAAACACGAGCAAAAAATCCCATAACCAAGACAGATCAGTAGAGAAGCAACAGGAACATGACCAAAAATTTCTTCACATCTGTTGCCTCTCTCTGCGAATCACATCACTGGAAGAGGCGCTGAGTCGCGCTCTGGAGGCGCGCTGAGTCGCGCGCGGGGGGGCGCGAGGTCGCGCCGAGGAGCGCGCGAGGTCGCGCTGAGGCGCGCGAGCTAAGACGCGCGAGACGTGTGGGTTCTTCGCTGGCCGTGAACAGTAGGCTAGGGTTAGGGCTTTACTGTGGCTCTGATACCATGTAATTTGGTAAAAGAGATCTTCTTTATTATTGAGATAAACCAAGTATATATAGGCTTAGGGTTAAGCCTTGATACAAAGACCTAAATACCCTTTCCTAAAATAAACCCAACTTGCTAATTATCTAATAATAAAACTAACACTGAGTAATCCTCATAGGGATTCTCCGAGAACTTGGAACCAGCAGACAAGAATCCTCGTCCTAAAGGACTGTAGGCAACAATACCAATGCCAAGCTCCCTAGTCGCCATTTTAAGGAAGAGCAGATTCAGAAGAAAGCTGTTGTTACTGGATAAACAAATTAAACAGAGTGATTTCATACCTGCACGTGGGAATGATCTCTGCCTCCCCATCTCTTGCCCACAGCGACCACTCCAATTGCACCGCTGTGATGGGATGAACAGCATGTGCTTTTCTGATTGTTGATGCAGAGGCCTCGCATAAACCGATGTACTTGATCTTACCCTCTTCAATGAGTTTCTTTAGCTCTCCCATCTTCGCATATTCACATGACAATACACTAACAGTCAAGACCTTACATGTTAAGATCCAGAAATTCATGCACAATATTAGCTTTTATTGTGTCCCTAATCCCTGAATATTCAAACATTACATTTTGACTAAGCAGTTCCTAGCCAAGATCAATCGATCTTGATGCATCTCAATGCAACAAAAAAGTCGCCAGGCATTAAAACGGAGGTAGATTTCTCTAATTTCTCACAGAAGAGGGCACATAACAGAATTCCAAGTGCTTTTTCATATTACACAATGACATGTCAAGAATCAAATGTCTCTACAGGAAGTCCAGAAACAACCTCCAAAGTGATTTTTCGTATATCAATTAGGGTGAACCCAAAAGCGCTTTCTTCTCAAAGGAACTTTCTTATCGACCCTTAACTTGTAAAAGATGCCCACAAGACCTCTTTAACAACGTTGCGCCACATCTCAACCTTGACTATCAACTGAACTGAAATCTCATTTAACAATATCTTACAAGTCAACATCATGCCACAAGATCCAAGAAACTTTTAACAACATGATGATGCATCATCAACACCAATCTAGGTTAGCAACTGATCATATGGCTCAGAGAAAGTCTTAAGAGAGGGAAAGGTTCAATGAGGATCCATACAGTGACTTCAATGGGGACGCGAGGGTCGATACGGTGTTGGTAGTAGAGGTCGATGCAATCGATGTCGAGCCGCTTTAAGCTGGCCTCACAAGCTGCCCTCACGTATGCCGGATCGCCCTGGACTTCCCTCCCATTCTCGAAGCTGACTCCAAACTTGGTCGCCACTTCCACCTTCTGTCTCACCCCTCCCTTCAGCGCCTGCTCAAAATCCACACCAAATCAACACAAGAAAAACCCAAGTTTACCCAAATAGAAAAAAGCCGATTTTTGTGCGAACGAAGACTGATTAACAAACAGATTTTTGTGCGAGGACTGTCAGCTAGTTGATCTAAAAAGCCAAAACCTTGAAGTGCGGCACGACTCAATATATACAAAACTGACCTTTCCGATGAGCATTTCGTTGGTGTGATTGTCGTAGATGTCGGAAGTGTCCAAGTAAGTGACGCCCAAGTCGGCGGCAACGTGGATGAGCGCGATCCGGTCCGGCTCGGGCTTGGGTTGGTCATAGTAGGGGGTCAGGGACATGCACCCCAGCCCCTGCGCCGAGACGTCAAGACCCTCTGACCCCAATTTCATCCTCATCACCTTCACCGACGCCATTGCCGTCGTCTTGGTAAATATCGAAGCAAGAAGAGAATCGAGAAGAAACAATTTGAGAGCGCTCCACTCCTTACAATGAGACGACAGGAAGCTTTTTGATGAGCCGAGCTTTATAGGCGACACGAGAGCACTTAGGTGGGAACACTCGAGACGGCAACAGAATTGCCTACCAAAAGGCGAGGGTGTCCTCAGCCACTCCTGGAACGGCCGCGTAAAAAACTTGAGACGAGGCAAAGCCTGGTGACGTTCTGTAGAATCTGTCGGCAAAATCCATAGCTTTTGGTACTGCGGAGCTCATGACTATGATAGCTAAGTTATAGTTGGAATAAGGACACGAGAATAACAGATAAGTCCAACCTCCGACCTGGATCCTGCCAGTGGGTCTTGAATCTTCCTTTTTCAGGAAGCTTGACGTAGGCCAATAGCATCAGACCTGGAGGTCCACTTTTTGGAAGTTTCTCTCCCTTCTCTCCAGCGACGACCTCTGCTCTCTCTGTTTTTGTCCAATAAATCATGCTGCCGCCGCCGCCGCCGCCGCCGCCGCCGTCGATTCAACACGCAAGAGAATCAAGATGGGTCGTCTTGGAACTTACCAATTCTTCCAAGAAACATGCTTTCTCCTCTAGCTTCGCTCGCATCGAGCCACCCTCTGCACCAAATCCATTCCTCTGCACTTCCTTGCCTTCCCTTTGTCATCCCCATCTCAAGTAACAATTCCCAAAAAAATTTCTGGTCCCCTGCGACCAAAAGCATCGACCCTAGATTCAACCCCTTGCCCTATTGCGCCAAGATTGATTACAGCCCGGTGGAAGACGATGAAGCTGAGGAGGACGAGGGATTGGATGAGGACGAACCTGCGAGCGGAGATGCGGTTTTGCCATAGAGATTAAAAAGACTGGCAAGAATTCGAGGAGGATTCTTACACGAATCAATTCTACGAAAACCACGCGCATCCGATCTTTATAATTTGTACATACATAATTCGGATAAAATTAAGAACGTCGATTTAATGTACAATATCATGATAACAACAATTATACGTAACAATTTCTATCTCGACAAATATATTCTATAAGAGTCATGCTGGTGAGGGAATAACTTTTGAATTGAGAGGCGCCATGGGTATTTTAGACATACAAGAAATTATTCAAATGTAACATACAGGAGAATCATGATTAATTGTACAGAATAATAAACTCTATATATTCTATCCATTACAAATTCCATATAAGGAACCGACCGTCCAAGTAGGGGAAATTGCGATTTAAAAACCAAAGGTCTCATATTATATGTCATGAAAACATCGGCAACCCAAAAATGAAACTTCGCTGATCGAAAGAGTTGAACATACTTTTCGAGAAGACAGATATATGGATAACGATGATGTGTCGCTCGGACGATAATTTGAAAAAAAAAAAAAAAGAGGATGAGTATGGATGCGAGATTAGGACGTGATGTCTCCACATTCACATGTCAATTATTTGGAAAAAGAAAATTCGCCATTCACGCACGGCTTATCAAATTTGGTCCACTGCCCTCGGTCAAACAAGCTCTATTACCTAGATGTTTTCCTAATAAAAACCAAAATTGGTAGGCGTACCAACTCATTCGACCCGTTCCAACTAGTTCGACCGATCATCTCGCCTCAATTCTCACTAGCTGCCCAAAAGATGCTACGTGACCTTTCGTGCATTCCATTAATTGATTTATGGATTTTGGGGGAGGACCATATGTCGCAGCCTCCCCACCGGCAGCCGTCGACGGGTCGACAAGGATGGTTATAGATTTTAGGTGTCAACACCATATGACATAATTTTCCTCGAAATTCATGCATGTTGCCAAGTTGGAAATTACACGTCATGGGATTTTTCTATTGCAAGAGATTGTTGTCTTAGAGTTATTAGCTCGACTTACACATTAACATGTACCTTGAGTGACACTAGTTAAATTAACTAGATATGGAAATAACATTGCTCAAGAGACTTTGAAAATAAGTTACTTACTCCAGATGGAGAGGTTTACGTTTCCAAAATATTTATTTAATTAAGTCTAACGAGTGCTCGCCCTGAGGATACTCTTAAGCATTGGCTCATGTAATATTAATGAAAGTTCTCGTGACTATCGATGCATAGACGAGGTTTGCAACCTCGAGAGATAGTGACACTAGAGAATTCTCACATAATACTTGTAAAATTTATTTCATACATATCAAATGAATGACATAAAATGGTTCAATTTTCATATACTGAAGCTCCACCACATCTTTCAAGATGTCAATATTGAATTGAGAAAAAGTGAACGTGTTCACACTTGGGTTTGATTTCATTTGGTGTCGCATAGATTTGTTTACTCATCCTAAGGGTGAGCTCGACTTGCCCCGTCTAAAGTGCCAATTAATGAAGTTGAACAAAACGTTCCGCGTTGGCAAAATGTTACAAAAGTTGGAACCCGGCGACCCCAACGGAGGCATTGCTGAGGTTGCTCAACTCAAGGTGAGACAAATCTCATCTGGGTGAAAGCTTGCCAACGTCGAGCGACTCTCGACAAGCTGGAGCCCATCGAGCATCAACTAGAGGCTGTGAAAGATGGCGCAACCCCAGCCAAGGTGGCGCCGAGGTTGCTTGACCCAATGTGAGACAGATATCGCCTAGATGAAGCTTCCCGATCGAGCGACACTTGGCGAAGCTTGTCGGTGTCGTGCGACCCTCGGCGAGCTAGATCTAGAACTCGGCGAGAGTCAACCATAGGCCGCGAGACTAGTCAAGGCTCATTGGGGTTGCACGACCGTCGCCAAGATGGCACCGAGGTCGCTTGACCTGAGATGAGAGGGATCTCACTTGGGCAAGCTTGCCGATGTTGAGCGACCCTCCGCGAAGATTGTGGGTATCGCGCCAGTGATCTTTAGCGAAGCTTTGCCAATGTCCCCGTCCCTCAACCTCCTCCGTAGAGTTCCCCAGCCACAATCAACTTTGTCTGTGTCCAAACAGTAGGAGTAAAGTGGCAATACCAATATATTAGTGAGGGCGAGATTGAAAGAATTTTTTTTATTAAACCATGAAGTAGCATTCCGAAAATGCTGAAGACCAAAGATATCGGATACTCGTCTCGAGATTTGGGCATTTTCAAAGCTCAACTTTGCGCCTAAGATTATTAAGATTGTGTTACCAAACGCTAAATTTTTTGCTTAAAGCTGCTTGTGAATGGTGCGTCAAGTTGAAAAGGTTAATTAAAGAAGAGATAAGTACATTGAAAATTCTAAAACTTGTTAAGAGAGTGCAATTAAGTCCTAAAACTTATGAAAAATGCGATCAAGTTCTAGAACTTATCAAATTAGTACAATTGTGTCCTTCCGTTAACTCCGTCCAATTAGACTGGCGGAAATTGTTGACGTGGCTTTCTTTTAATATTTTCTCTCTCGTACTTGGTTTTTTAAAAATATTTTTCGTCTCCTGCGTGGCGTTGACCTTATTAAAACATGAAATATAAGACTAAAACAACTTCACGTTAGCCTAAATTTTAATTTTTTAACCAGTAAAAAATAAAAAATGTATTTTAAAAAGGATATGTTCACTTAAAGTTCTAAAATTTGTCACGAAAGTATAATTGAGTCATAAGTCATTTCGTTAACTCTGTCCAACTTGGCTAACGGAAAATACTAATGTGGCTTTTTTAAAATTATTTTCTCTCTCTTACGTGGCAATGATGTGGCTAAAACATGAAACATAAAGCTAAAACAATGTCGTTTTGGTCTAAACATGATTTCTAATACAAATTTTATTTAAATTAAATTTTAAAATAAGCTAATTTTTTTTTTAAAAAGATAAATTGATTTCCATGCAAGAACCCCGTGGATGGCGCTACTGTGTCGACATTCTGAACCTTCACCGGTTGATTCTGTTTGAAATTTCTCTTTCCATGGTTTCAAATTTTGCGGCCGAGTCCATTTATTGACAGGTTATTGGTCTAAGTAAGTATTAGTTCATAGAATCGAATTACAATGTCATTAGCCACAAATATAAACCAAAGCAATATAATTACAATGTCATGGCTTTTGGATTACATGTAAAACACTCTGTTGTTATTATGAAAGATCAGAACCTAAGTATCACCGACACCGACAACGACACATGACACGACACGCCGACATGTCATTTCTCAAAAAATAGAGAATTCCGACGTGTTGGGACACATTGTATATTAAATGTATATTTTTATATATACATGATAAATTATCATTTTTATGATTATTTCAATCAAATTAATTCGATTCAAATTCACAAATAAATAAATAATAAAACAAGCCTAGAATGAATTTACACTAAAAACATTAATCCACCATTTGTTACTATCATTCATTGTTTTGAATTGACAAATTCAACTACATTCTATTCTGTTAGGGATTCACAATTAAGTTTTTGTGGGGCTGGCTGGGTATATTAATTTTGGGGTGGCTAGGAATATGACTTAAGTATATATATTTTTGATATATTTAAATTTTGATCCCTAAGTTATTGAAAATGTTTAAAATTGACCACGTGTGTGTCAGAATGGCATGTCGGGATCGATGCTGGACTCACGTGTCACTGGCGTGTCCGGAGCGCTGATCACGTGTTGGATGTCTGACACCTATTGACCACATGTCGATCGCATGTTGGTGTCTGACTCCGACGCATAGGCCCCCGGAATTTGTCCGTGCTTCCTAGATCGTAACAACCGAAAGGGGAACTACAAAGGGAAGTTGTGGGACAGTCGCTCTCTTGTTTGATGAACTTCTTTGGAATCTCTTTTGGCACGGAATATATCCGAGAATTATGCTATTTGGTGCGACTTTCTTGTAGTAGTATAAACTATAAAAAAGAACAGTGCAATCGAATCTTTTGAGCAGCTTTTTGGAAGTTATGCTCCTACGAGAAAGCCCAATTTAAGTAGGTGAATTCCGGACACACAAAACACTCCACTAACCTCATGAATCAAATAAGAGGTGAGTCAAGGCGTGGATGGGTTGCCCAAATCTGGAAGTGCTTTCAAATTGATGGCATGAGGAATCGAAACTGCAACCGTGATTACCCAAGTTTGTTTATTGACCACGGAGCCAAACTCCTAGGAGCCTTTTGTCTCGTAATTGTAAAACATGTGTTGCCAAGCCCGTAAGTATAGTGGGTAATTATCATTAGGAATTTTAGTGGTTCTATAATAACCGGCA